GACCGCGGCGTCACCGGCCGCGCCGCCAATCGGCGGAGCCGCCGCCCCCCCTCCGGTGCCGGGACTACATTTCCCGGCGTGCCCCGCGGCAGAGGCGCTCTGCGGCTGCCGGGCGGGCGGACCATGGAGTCGCCGCTCCGGCGATACCGGGCTCGCTACAAGGGCCCGGCCGCGCCGCCCTGGAAGGAGACCTACCGCCGCGTGAGTCGGGACGTCGGGTGGGCTGGGGAGGGGGCGGGGGGGCTCTGCCCGCTCCTTTGGCACCGGCTCGCCGCCTCGCCCCGGGCCGGCCGGGCTCGGTCCCGCCCGGGCGGGTGAGCCGAGCCGGGCCCCTTCCCAAATCCTCCTCGTGGGGGTCCAGCGCTGCCGTCGCGGGCTGGCGGAGGCCAACCCCCGGTGGGAGCTGTCAGCCCGCTCCCGCGCAACCCCGTCCGGGATGCGACCGGCCCTCGGGCCACGTCGTCCCCCCCCCTCCCCCCCCGCTAACGGGCCTCGTCCCGTCCGCTCCCTCCCAGCGCTGCATGGAGCGGCTGAGGAGCAGCCGGGCGAAGCTGCTGGACCGGTACCGCCAGGCCGGGGAGAGAGTGTGCGGGCCGGCCACGGGCACGCTGCTGGTGCAGGAGGTGATGGAGCAGGAGTGGCAGACGCTGCAGGCCGCGCAGGAGGGCCAGCTGCCCCGCCGGGGAACGGAGGCCCTGGCCCAGGTCAGTACGAGCTCCCTCGGGCCGATGGGGTCTCCGGCACCCTTGCGTCAACGCGCTACCTAATGCCGGCGTTCCGAACGCGTCTCTCTGCAGCTGTTAACTCTCGTCTTTTGCTGCGTGGAGTTGGCAAAACTCGGGGCGACTGGGTTTCCTGCTCCCGCAGCTCATGTGGGGCGTCGTGCTGTGAAAGCGCTTGCCTTTGGGCCCACGAGTGGGGAACTTCCTTGTTTCCTTCACAAACTGCCTGTGCGTCACGGCAGACGGTGGGTTCCTCATCTCTGGTTTTTAAAGCCGGTCTGTCACTGCCCGCTCCTGAGGATGGGAATAAAAGTTCAGTGGTTTGAAAAGCAAGTTCTTGGATGGGCTGTGTTCAGAACCATTCTGGCTGGCTTTGCACAGGTGATTATATCATAGATTCCTTTACACGGCACATGGTTTTGCAAGCGCAGAGATTTACCAGACAGAAGAATAAGCAGAGTGAATTTATGTTGCAGTGACAGTTCAGTCAGGTGCTGGAAGTTAAGTGAGAAAGTAGTCAGAATGGGAGAATCACTGACTGATGCACCTTTCAGATGCTAGAGGACCCCGATGAGCTAGCAGTACTGGAGGAGATCCAACAAGAATTGATCTTGCAAGGTAATGTCTCTACACGCTTTCTGACTCTTGTTTGATTTGTAATATTCCTGACTTTCTAGTAATCCATACTAGCTGAGGCTGCACTCCTTGGTTCTTGTAGACCACACAATAGAGGGGAAGAGCCTCCTTAGGAATCTCTGTAGCCTCTCTAATGCATGAAGACCCTTTTTGACAGTTTTAAAAGTGGCATTTTAATGTCTGTGAGAAGCTAATGAGAGAGGAGACCAGAGAAACAGCACTGAGGTGTTTGGGAGCTGTAGGAACCTGTATAAATCATTTCAGAATGTTTCTAAATTGTTGGTCGGAAAGCAGAAAGTCACCCCCTTGAGACTGGCTAAAGATTGAGCCATAGGAAAAACTGGATTAGCAGGAATGATTTCCTCAAGTGTAGAGATCTGATCCAAAGAAAGAAAAGTTCTTAGAAAACTAGTGGCTGCCCCAGCCTCCATCTACCCAGCAGCTTCACATGTGCTGCTTTGTCTTCAGTTCATAACAGATGCCTGAAGGTATTTTGCTGTGTTATTGCAGAACAGCTGGTTATAGAAGAGTATGAGCGAAGCCTGCAGTTCGATGAAGAATGTCTCAACGCAATGCTCGATGGCTTGGATGCTAGCGACAGGGTCATCTGCCCAGTGTGTAGAAAGTAAGAAAGCCCTTGGCATTGGAATGAGGTTCTCCACTCCCCTACCGCAGTCTGCACTTAGAAACAGGCCAAAACAGTGGGCAAACAGAACCCGCTGTTAATTTCAGCAAAATAAAATAAACCCTGATCTCCTAGACCTTAGCAGTTTTTTTTGCTAAAATCTACCTTTGTTCTGGTTGTTGTGATGATGCTCATTGTATGCTCTTTCTAGGAATAACCTGACTGTGAGGAATCACTTAGTTTTTTGCCAGTGTGGATTACACATCAGCACGCAGGTAAGCTGGACAGTGAGTTAACGTGTTACATGCGACATCTGAAGTCTGCTGCTGCAAAGAGGCAGTTTTAAGCTACAGACAGCAATTTAAGTATTTAAGTGTAAGATTTCTTTTAACCCAGTTTTCTTTCTCAGGATATGACAGAAGGGAAGCTTCGGTCACTTCTAGAAAACACTGTAACAGAGCACAGTCACAGGTGCTTGCACAACCCAGAGTTCACAGTTACCAGTGGAATGGAGGAGGAAGCCAGTCTCCTCATGAGCTGTCCGGTGAGTCTAAATGTCAGGTTCCTGGAAAGGATCTCTGCTTGGATCCACTTCTCAATTACATGGGCAGAAATCACAAGCCTATTCATCCCATGGGTTTGTGTTGGCTGTTTTTCCACAAACTTCCTTGGAAATGGTTTTACTTTCGACCACCAGTAACCATAAAAAGAAGAGCCAAATTACACAACTTACCTTAACTGCTGGGTTAGGGAACATTTCAAGGACCTGCCACGTTTAGTGCCTTATCTTTCTCACACCTTAGCCAACAACTTCCAAGTCTTGTGTGGAGCATCTGTTCAGGTAAGTGGTTCATGAAGAAAAGTTCCAAAAATTACTTCAGTTTAAGCCTCCTCGAAAGGCTCGCCCATACCTCTTAGAAAACACATACCATCCCTTTGGCTTGAGCTAGAGCTAGCAAGTTCTTAGCTTTGCTGCTTACGTAAAATTACTGAGGACAGTGCTAGGAGCAGAGCTTTCAAATAGTTTTGAACATTAATAATGCATTTTATACATTGCTATAGCTTCTCTGTTCAACTTACCTTTTGTAAAGGTCTGTGACTCCTGGACGATTCTCCTTTAAGTTGATTCAGCTGCTTCTTTTTTACCGGAAGGACTTCAAGACTAAAAATCCACCCAGAGCTGCTAGTACTTTTATGTATATATGTGCAACTAACTGCTGTGTCAAAAAGATACTTGAAAAGGCAGTAGTACTGCCTTGACCTGCACTTTTAATGGCACAATATATGTTTTGAAATAAATATACTTCATTTATTTCAGCCTTAGTGTTGTCTTTAATAATGCATCGGTGATCTCACATTGGACTTCTTTAGTTTTGGTTTCTGTTTAAACTTAGTATGACCTTCAGGCAACAACTGGAGACACTGGCTTGAGTAGAAGACCACAGCTGCTGCCCTGCTGCTAGCAGTGCCTTTGACATCAGCAGCCACAGCCTTTCAGTCATTCTGCTGGAACTAAAGTGCTCCAGCCTTTCCACAGTATTTTGCTAAAATACCTACATTAATAGTAAAATAATAGGTTATGGCAGCACATCCCTTTTTAAAATGGCTCCTCAAACACAATGTTTAAGACCCTGAATTCTATTCCCTAACATGTAGGCAGACAGCCAAGACCTCTAGAATGAGTCATGTACATAATTAGCACTGCTTGGCTGGCAACATTCCTCCTACAGACACAACTCTGACAGAGGGCACACTGGGTGTTTGGAGGTGCTGGAATAGCTCTCTCTGGAAAAAACTCCAGGCCAGCACACGCCATTGCTGCAGCAACAGCTCTGTGAGCAGCTGTATTCGTACCGGCACAGACAAACACTAGCATCGTTTGTATGGCAGCTCTCTGGTCAGCAATGGTACAGCAGGAAGAAGAGAAACCATCAGTTTTCAGTGATATGTTGAACATATTTTATTCTTCACATTCATCCTTAATTGTACAAAACCCGCCAAGTAGGGCGAGGCAATTCTGGACCATAATGTCAGAGAACTTGATCTGGGCTGCAACATAAATACATGTCCCCAAATACAAGTAAGAATCCTCATTCTCCCATTCTCCAAATTCAAAGTAAGTTGCTTACTCTCCGTATCTGTTGTGAAGATATATTTGGGTATTGCTGGCTAGAGCAGTGCTGTGGAATACCCACACTTGAAGACAAGTTTCCTAGCCTGACCTACTGACATTTGACAAAGCTTTTAAGGTCTTCAAGGAATTTAATGTACTCCTGGTGCTCCAATGCGGTGCTGAGCTCTATTAACTCATCGGCAAACGTGTTGTCCACTCCTCGATCAGCCAGGAAATCCATTAAGTGATCGTACAGAGCCTGGAAGCAAGGAACAGGAAACTTCCTTAGCAGAGTGCACCTGGGTAGAGGTTGCTTTTAAAATGTCGCTGACATTTCTTTCTGCCAGGAAGATCAGGCCCACCTCCCACAGGAGACCAGGCAGCTCCCCATCCCCTTCTTGGCAGGCCTGGCCTCGGCTGTAACATTTGGAGGGAAGGGGCCATGGAACAGGTCATCCAAACTTGGTCATGTAAACCCAAACCCAACAAATACAAATGAGCTGCACCCTGAGGATGATCAACTGACTATCAGAGTCAGCAGGTAAAGTCTCTCAAAGATTACATGTGCCAAGCTCTGCCTGTACCCCTCTATATAAAGCTACAGCCTTGGGGGTGAATTGTTTTAACACTCTGGAAATGGTGGTATCGGATGTAAAAGATTTACTCTTTCAAACAAGTATTTACAATCATCAACTTTTTTTTTCTTTTTAATCCTGCTTCACTGTTGCAACTCCAGCATACGTTAATGCTTGTGGGTTCCCCCCTTGCTCCTCAGGTGAACAGATTCGTTATTACTGCGTAATGCAGTAATGCTAATACCTGTCATGCGTTTCTTGGTTTGGGGGATTTTTCTTGCTAGTGGGTTTTTTTTTAAACCCACCAATATTACTGAGCAAATGATTCATTTTGGACTTCTGTAATCTGAGCAGATCACAAATCATATGCATTTTTAATTAATCTTCTGTCTCAAGTCAGAGAGGGGGGGGGGGAAAAGCCATGTGGGATGTTCCAGAGCACACTAACCAATTTTAACATGCTTCCCAAAGAGAGATACACTCTAGGAATAAAGTTTTAAAAGCTTTTGAAAGCCTGCTATTGAGAACATATAAGCAGATGCCAGATTCTTGGGCATACTAGTTTTTAGTGTCAGTACTATAAAAACATACCTGGAAAACCCAGAAAACAGAGACATCTACACATGGCATCTGATAAGCTACATTGTTAAACACACAGATCAAAAGATGCTTGAGCAAGTGTCAAAGCATCTCTAAAATGTAATATAGCTGCTGGGAAATCAACTTAATAAAGCCTGGAACAGAGCAAGTTTCAATGTCTCAGTCTCCGACTGCCAGTAACGCCACCAGCACTGCACAACTGCTGGGACCACGTAATAATCCTCCGTTTGCAGAACCACTATCTCATGGCAAACTGGGGCTTAGCAGGGGAATCCCCCATCCCAGGCATCCGGGACAGGACTCATTCGTAACTCAGGAGCAAACGGACAGCCAGGCAAGATACGCTGAAGTGCCCTCCGCAGCCTACGGCCATGCTAGCAACACTTACCCAGTCAAGGGAATCCGTGTTGAGGGTGTAGTTGGTGTCCTTCCAATCTGATTCTCCAGTGGGCTGAAAACTGACCTCCCGAATTGTAAAAATATCACTTTCTTCCTCTCCCTCATGTCCAACCTGAAACAGGAAATGAGATGCAAGACATACAATTAGCTCTAATCACTTGGCACCTTCAGCCATCTCATCCCAAAGCTAGGAATACTGCACTGCAGGCAAATCCCCAAGACCAGTACTAAAGCTGTGCCTCTCCCCTCTCAACACATGCCTTGAAGACAAGCACAGACATGCATGAGAACACAGGAAAACATGTCAGTCTACCAGCTCATGCTGCCAGAAGCAACCTGATGTAAGTCAGCAGCCTGGTTTCTACAAAGACATAAAAACCTCTTCCTTGTGGTTCTAAATCTGTCTTCACAAGTCTGTCTAACCTTTGTCAGTCAGGACTGGCTGCATAAATGATCTGTTAAGGTTTACAAAATAAACCACAAAGATCAGTCTGAAGCAAAGATCTCCATTTTATTCCTCCCGCTCTTTATTTAATCACTACTTCTCTTTGTGACACCTCACAACAATGAGATTGCTCAGTTACTGACACACTATTAAATCTATCTTGTTTTGGCTGTTCTTGTTTACCCCCTCAAGTTGCCGCACTGTTACAGTTAAGCCATGCCTCCCTTCTCTAATGTAATTCAATAAATGGGCCAATAAGCAGCTGATCAGAAACACCAGGTCAGGATGTGAGGAGTGCAATGGAACATCTCCTCCCCAGTGAGCGTTCCTGGAAACACAAAGCCTTTTTTTTTTGTGTGCTAAAAAAGAGGTAAGAGGAGACTGCGTTTTCTGCAGATTCAGAAAACCAACAGACTATAAAGAGTAGTTAAGATCCAACAGCGGCACAGTTACACTACAGTCAAGTAGGAAACACACAGTAAGTTACAGATCAGAGCTGGCCAACACACAACCAGTTTGATACCTACCTCATCTTCGGGATAATGGCAGTCAAGAACAAGGGTCTGTTTTGTATCATCTTTTATTACTTCCACAACAAAGTTTGGAGTTGATGTAAGATCAGGCTAAATAAGAGAAAAGTGGCATCAGCATTGGAGTCTGAACAGGAGCCAAAGTGATGACAGTACAGCCCAGCAACACAGCCCATCCAGCACAGATTGTTCCCTGTCACCCTCTTTCTGGAGTCTCTGACCTGGCCAGGGCAACCCGTGCCTCCCCCAGCCTCACCAACGGCCCTTCAGCCCCTGCTCTGCTCCATGGCTGGTCACACGGGTAAAATGACAGCTGGGAGCATCTGCCACCCCCTGACAACCCAGAGAGCCTGCAGCTCGCCTGGATGGGTTCCTCTGAAGGGACAGGAACTGGGAAGAGACTCAACGTTGTTTTGAGAGCAGGAGCTGCTCGTGCCTGACCTCCTTTGTGGAGGAAACTTGGCAGGGCACAGAGACTGCCAAACACACGTACACATGCACAGATTGAGTGCACTGCGCCTTCTCAGCGGACACAGGCACACCCAGGAAGGGAAGCAATGTGCAAACATCCCCAGTATTATCCCACCCAGCTGAGTGCAATGTGCTGGAACAAACACTACCCTTCAGAAAGTGCAACTAAACTGCTACAATCAGAGCAGCTGCATTCCTGACTCATTCAGCATCAGTGTCACTGCAGATGAAGCTGTCTGCCTCAAATTATATTGCTCATTTACAGTTTTTACTGGTATTTTGACTAACAGTCTTATTAAATGGGAGTGAAACACTTTTGACCAACAAAACCACGCAAGTGGATTAATGTCAATAGCTTTGCATTTTGTTGACGTTGTCTACCAGCATTGTGAGTTACGCTAAGTACAAAAGGCAATATTTATTGCAGGGGGTTGCGAAGGCAAGAGATACCAAATTTCCTCTCATATCTCCTCATAGAGCCCTCTCACCCTGCTCTGCCTTTCTACTGCAGAGAGGAAGGTCACAGCCAAGTGACAGGCAACCTAGAAAAATCTGCATTTTGTGACTTAAGGCTCCCAAATATCAAGTCAGAGGGGAAAAAAAGCCTTAACACTTAAGGGCAAGGCTCTAACCTCCCTCTGTGTACCCATCACTAAAGTGCACGTCAAGACTAAGTTACCTCCTGCTCATCAGGTTTCTGCTCTTCTTGTGTTTCATCCTCAGCTGAGGGTGGAATGCTGTTATTGATGTTGAATGTGACCGTTATCCTTCAAAAGAAACGGAAGCAGTTACTCTGAACACACTCAAAAAACACTCATCAAAATTCCTCCTATTTGAAGCTTTTGTCGTGGGGACAGCGTTACCGGTGTTGAATTCACACACCATGAACAAGACCAGGTATTGCAGTGAAAAGTTTAAGACACACGCCTGAATGAAGCTGGCTTCCCCCAACTGCTCTCATGAGCAAGCGTTTTTCAAGTTTTACTGGACTGAACTGCTACTTTTAATGCAGGAAGACTGCAGGAAACTTTGCAACACACAGTACAGTAGCAAACTTTTGCCAAAACCCAAAAAAGCGCATTGGGCCCAAGGTGGTAAAACGAAGGGCCTCTGCAACGCCCGGTTTGCACAGACTGGTCAGATAGCAATGAAAGTAACAGGAGCGCAAGGACAGATCTGGTGACTCGTATCTACTGGTCCTCTGGGGCACAGGGACTCGCCCAGAGGAATCCTTCCAAAGCCCGCACTTACTTCTCGCCCGCTATCTTCCGCACCAGCTTGGCCTCCGTGCCGTGCACTTCCAGCTCCCACCCCCCGGAGACCTTGGGCAGAGATTTGTGTTTCTGGATCTTCTTCTCCTCCTTGATCTCATCCGTCAGGAACTGCGCGAAGGCTTTGTCACCTGGAGGGAAAATGGCGCCGGGGGGGGGGTGAGGGGTGTTAAGGGCCCTCGCGCTGAGAGCGGGCAGGACGAGCCCCCCCCCCCCGGCCACCACG